TAGCAACCCTTTCTTGTCATATTGTGCTCAATGTACATGCCAATAGCTGCTAATGGGGATCGCAGCGTGCGCGTTACCTAAAGGCCGAATGCTCCTGTCTCTCATTCCTCCTTAGCAGCCATTAACATGTGCATTGAGCACTATCTTTTATTGTTCAACAACGCACAGAAGAAATCTCTCACCGGAACCACCTTGGAGGTCAAAATCGTAAGGACCGCTATTTCGGGCATGTGGCACTGGTGGTTACGTACTACGAGGTACGCACAAGCCACGCCATAAGGAGCTTCGCCCCTAAAAGGCATAGAACGCCGCGGCAGCACTTACATCAGCTGGCTATGTGGAATAAACTGACGGCGAGTGTCGCGTTTGTGTCAATAATAATGAAACTACAACTATAGCACTCTTTGCCTTGACACCGAGAAACATAAATATCAAATACGGGAAGCCAAAGTAGGTTAGGCCTTTGTGTTTATGGTGAACAACAAGCAGATATCATAAAACATAACCATGCAGTAAACAGCAAAATAAGCACTACGTAATAAACAATAAAATTGGTAGATCCCACGTACAGCGGGAACCGATGATATTCGAAGCACGAATGAGGAAGGTTGATATGTCCCTTTAAAAATTCCCACTACGTGGCGAGGCGCATGAATGTAGTATAAATTAAACACAACTGAAAATGTTATGTGCACTCAGGTGTCTGGATAAGATGCAAGTATGTTGTATATAGTCACGTACCGACGACACCACTAACGTTTGCAATACCAGCCGCAGCAGTGGTAGGCATGTAAATTAGGCAGTACTTGACTTTAATGTCATGATTATCATGTTGATGCCTGGCTTTGGTCTCGTCGTCAATTAAATGCGAAGCATTTTTTAGCGAACTTCAGTGACATTGAGCGTATCTATCTATCAAGCTGCTTACGTTTGGGTGCTCTCGTGGTCACCCCCTAACTTGGTGTGAACCAAAATTAGCATGGGAGGGTAAGATGGCTTGACGAGTATGATGCGCTGGTTAGAACATGAATAATGTCACCTTCCTGTCTCGTACTTGTCAAACACTTCCCGCCAGACAGTGGCACATACCTACGGGCGGGTATGTGCCGCTGGTATACGGGTAAACGCCACAGGTGATTGACACTTAGTATCTACCCAGGAACGACAAGCCCACACATGGGCAATTTCAACTCGTGAGCGTTAAGCAATACCCGATATTGGTAGCGTTGACCCAACGAAGGCATGGAATAAATGTCAGTGTTAAGCAAAACCGGACATAGCAGCGTTGACTGACCGACGAAAGCAAATAACAAATTTCAGGGTTCCAGGAGGAATCGAACCAAAGCGGTCTGCGTGGCAGTCAAGCATACTATCACAGAGCTACGCCAGGTCTCGGATCTACGTTACAAATAGACGCTAATCTTCGTAAAGTGTCAATAGTGGTTGCAGTGCTGCCTACCCAATGTTATAAATATTACATATGTACTCCTTTGATACAGCCATTACGTCGGGTTAACGTCAATTGTTGTTAGGTGCCATGCGCTGAGGTTGTTTTATGTAGCAGTGTCCCGGGGCAGCATCTTCGCGAGCATCAGCACTTCATATGAGCTTCTGGTGTTGCTAATACGCATGTTTCAGTTGACATCGTTGTGCAAGTACAAACAACTGGTTATATAAACAACTGCAACTATTCAACGAATGTCTGCGCGTGCAACATTTGTACATATACTTATCGTCATTCCGCGATGTGTCGTTCAAAATAAAAAAAATTGCAACGCGGTCACCTTCCGTGCGCATGCTTCGCATAAAGTCGATTCCCAGGTACGTATGATCTGCCAAATTTTTTCACGTCACCTAATACTAAATTTGGTATATGTGAAGCTAACGAAATGGCCGCGAGCGCATCATGAGCGTGCAATGTAGTCATGTTCTTACATGACACGTATCTCATGATTATCATGTTTGCACCAGTTATATACCTTCGTCATCCATTCACGTTCTGTAATAACAAATTTAGTATATGTGAAGCTAGCGAAACGACTGCGAGCGCACCATGAGCGTATGGCGTGTAGTAATGAATCACATGATATACAAGTCATGGTATCTAAGTTGGCCTGCCACTTGTGTTCGCCATGCAGTCGTGTCGTATAATACAAGCTTTGCAATATGTCATGTGAACGCAACCACCGCAAAAGCAGCAACACCATGCCATGTAAATTATGACATTCATGGCATATATATCATGATTTTGGTGTTATGAGTAATGATTGATATGTGAGGTTTAACGAATCAAAACCACCATATGATTATGAGAGACGCCGTAGTGGAGGGTTCCAAAGATTCCGAGCACCTGAGGTTCTTTAACGTGCACGACAATATGAGCACACAGAATTTTCCCCTCCATCGAAAATGCTGCCACCGCAGCGCGAATTCGATCCCAGGACCTGTGCGTCAACAGCCGAGTACCTTAACCACTAGACCACTGCGGCGGGCTCATGTTATGACTAGTCACTTATGCTTGTGATACAGCCATGTTATACCATAAAAACTTTGGTGTAGATCCCATCATTGAAACGGCCAGGAGAGCTAAAAGTCATCGGCAGATAGATAGATAGATAGATAGATAGATAGATAGATAGATAGATAGATAGATAGATAGATAGATAGATAGATAGATAGATAGATAGATAGATAGATACGCTAAAAGTTGTTGAAGTTTGCTAAGAAATGCTTGGCATTTAAAAACCTCGCAGGCTTTCTTATGCATTCACTGGAGATGACTTGAAGGTGAGAGCCTTATTTTTCTTCTTCTTCAGTCAAATTATAGGTCTTTCGTACACCCAGTGAAAGTTTTCTGCACCTAAAGTGGCTTTGCACTGCTTCTGTGAGCGGAAGAATTCCAAGCTTTTCGCACGTAACCTTGTTCGTTTGACCTCCGGGATCGGTTGGCCAATCACAGAGGCAGTGCAAAGCGACGATGTCGTGTGATGACGTCATCATGACTTGATCATCTTTACACCTTATGGTGATCCAGTGATCTGTGATGTCATGATATCCTATGGTGGCGCCATCACGCATTAATTTTTGCATCACTCTTGTTGGCGCCGTTCCGCCACGATACGTCAAAGTCACCGATGGTAAGTTTTTATTTTCAGATGAGAACCTTAAATGCCTTAGCAAACGTGAAACTTGACCGTTTGTGTCCTGCATCGGCGGTGCCGAGAGATGAGAAAATAATCACCTCATGTCGGCAAGTTATATGACGTCTGAGATCATCAAAATTTTGACGTCATTGAAACGTGACATGATCACGTCCTGGCATGACATCCGAGCTTAGTCGAAGGTGGTCTGACCATGTAGGCAATGAAAAATGAGTTTTGCACTGCTTTTGATTTTGGAGGCAGAGGAATACCTCATTAGCTCCAGCAAGTTTTCTAAAGGTGCATGGTGTGAAGGGTTGCGGGCATAGGCGTCGGCAAGGTGGTGCGAAAGGGGCACTGGCACCCCTCAAGTCACAACAGCACTTGCCCACACTTAAGCTGCATCAGTGCTTCCTCCTCCCTCAGCCATGATGCAAGACAGGTTTGCACCCACGGCAAACTCCTGCTTACACTCGTGGAGTGACAGGGTAGGATAAGTACATCGACTGAGAAGAAAAAGATGGCGTTCTCCTTCGAATTGTCTTAGGTGGATGAATAGAACCCTGCGAGTTTTTAATTATGTGTCTAAGGCTCTCGCTCTAATACGTTTGCTAAGTGTTTACACGGTGTGCTTCAGGTGTAAAGTCTCATACCCGCAATCATATTGAATGAGGACACAAACAGCTTCATGAAGGTCAAATGTGCTGCAGCGTCACAAAAATTGATGCCCGGAAGTATAGCACCGAGCAATGAACGAAACGTGCGGTGACTTTCGCGCATTAAGACATCCAAGAACCGAGCAAGTGTATCCGCCGCTTTCCTACTTCTTCGGCATGTTCAGTGATCATTACGGTTGTTGGGGTGCAAACAGCACAGTCTAGTTTGCGTGCATGAATGTCAGAGTGCTCAGACGTAGCCGTTTCTTCACAACAGCGGTACCTCACACCAGCAAAACCCACTCACGGCACCCGTTGAATGCAGGCGAAAGCGGGTAAGCGTCGTCTCTTCAACGCGCCGGTGCTCCGCTCTCCCATAATGCCCCAGCGCCGACCCACCAGGGGAAAGCGCGGCGCTGTTGTTTCTGGAAAGGTCAATGGAGCCCAAAGCCATTCAATTCTTTTTCAGTGAGTAAGATTCTTTTTTTTTTGAAGTTGTAACTTCAAAAAAGGGAATTTCTCAGAAGCTCTAGGGAAACAAGAGATATGTCCTTGACCTCAACGATTAGCTATACTTCACTTGCTCCTTCAGTACTGTGTTCTCGGCATCATAATAAGGCGTGAAGCATGCAGCGTCCGGGCAGGCATGTCCTGTTAAGGACAATTGTGGTTGTCCACACTGTCTCAGAGATGGAGCAGCACTAACTGGCAGATTATGGTATTGCTAATACTTATTGTTTTAAATAACCAAGCGAAGCATGTGAGCCATAGAAAAAAATAAATATTTTTATTACAGTAATGGCAACAGCAATAGCAGTGCAGACTTGTGTGTATGTATGTATGTAGTATGTATGTATGTATGTATGTATGTATGTATGTATGTATGTATGTATGTATGTATGTATGTATGTATGTATGTATGTATGTATGTATGTATGTGTGTGTGTATGTATGTATGTATGTATTGCAGATGTGTATGGACTTAGTAACACTTAGCAGTGCGTGTTCATGTTTTATGAAATCACGCAGGGCTGCCCTCTATATATCTCTCAGGATGTTTTGTTCTTATTTTCCACACTTACATCGGCTCGCATTCATTCTTTGACATCATGTGATGAAGTAATCTCGTGCAGGATCTTCTGGGTGAGAGGGGTGACGATATGGTGACCAACAGCCTCCGTACATCCAACACGCCTGAAATAAATTTTTTTCCGTTATATTCGCATAATAGAGCCAAACTTCAACAACTCAGGGCAGCGAAATATTTATAAACACAACTCACAAAAACCTAAAATGGAGGAAAATGTTTCCTGAAACACCGCAACCACGTTTGCAATGTCCACTCCCACTGTCGGTCTGGATGCGGCGTGGAATACTCACGCATTGAAATGCGACATTGTCTTGTATTCTTTTTTAGTTTAATCAGAGCTACGATTGATTTCTCATAGTTACCACGCCATGCCACTGCAGATCTGAACGGTGCAATTGTTAGCTCTGATGTAAGCTTTCTAGTCAGAATCAATACAAATGACGAGAAAAGTAGGTGCTGGAAATACAACAACGTGCATTATACACAGCCCTAAGTTTTCACGTTTAAATTCCTTAGCACTGTACTAAGTCGACTTAAATGATAATTTGCTCTATTTGCTGGAACGGTATCAGAAAGCATTTAGAGGGGCTTTTTTTCTCGTTACTTCTAGGTGTTGGCCAGCGTACTGCATTCCAGAGCAAATTTTATGCCCTCTACAGTGCATAACCGTCACTTCACAGACGCACATAAAACAGTGGTGACCAAGATGACATCAGAATGAACCTCTGAGAGCAAAATTTTCGTTTGTAACCTTTTTGATCTCCAAGTGCTCTTTGGAGGAGTTGGTTTGTACTGTAATTTGTAAATTTGTGACTGTTCATCGCGAAATTGACACGTAAAGGCTTGAACGTACCGTAGGACTAGTGCTGACGGTGTTAATTGCAATTACCTTCAGTGTTGTGCTGAAGTGCATCTAGACCAAAACAATGAATCGTATATAGAGAAACATGCAGCAGTACTGGCTCCGCATGATATACTCCTAAAAAGTCGGGCGCTTCAACTAAAAAATTGGGTGATGGGGGGCTTAGGACCACGTGCGTTTCATCTTCCGTAACGTTTGAAGAGTGTTCTCAATTGAGGGACCCGCGATTGGTGAAGAATGAAAATCGGTGGCAGCTTTTTTATATGAGGTGAGCTAGTTAAATGTAAGTGCCACCCCCTTAATAAAACGGAAATCCTTCGTGGTGTGAGCAGCCCTAACTACCTTGAAAGAAGCCCGATAACAGTAAAGTGTGAAGTTCGAGGAACAAAAGCTTTCTTCGGGTTTGTTTTCTATGATGTCGTCCATACTCATTTTACTCGTGCAACATCTCACTCGGTACCGACCAGTTCTGATGTCAACAAGTGCTGCCAACTCCGATGAGCACTTAAGCTTACTTTAAAACAAAATTGTAAAATCGTAAAGGCAACGTTCGTCGCGAAAAATTGGCCTGCTGTGCCCCCGTACCCCAATGAGCAATTAAATAAAACGAGCGCCCCGAGGTTTCTATTTTGGTTTCAGGGGTCCTTTAACGACAACGATGTTTTCCTGCTAAGCTTGGGGATGATTGTCGTATTCTCAAACCTCGCGCCATCATTTCGAAGTGAACAAAAACCGCTGAACATCCGGGCGTTTACTTTCTAGTGCGTTTTTAAGAATCATCAATGAATGGGTGGATGGTGAAACTTTATTTGTAGTCCTCAGAGATAAGTCGAGCACGCAGTGCGCTTCTACCACGTTGGTACGGGCAAGCTAAAAACATTTCCGTGTTCCCCATTGTGTGTTGTTTTGAAGTCACGCTCGTTGCAAGCCTCAGAAAATAAGCGGTACCGTAACAGACATTTACCATAGAGTGCACCGTTTGAAATCTGATATTTCTGCTCCTTGGTCACCAAGTGACTCTGTTATACTGCGTCATATTCCTTTTGGTCAGAGCCTACACATTCGTGTGCCCCACTTTTTTTTGCAAGTTATGTTCAGTAGCAGTAAAGAAAGAGAAATCACACTGAAATCCCACCGTATTCGGTGAGGCTTGTTTCAGGCTGAACACGATGAGTGCTACCAAACACTAGTGATTTCGCGAACGTGTGACCATATTTAAATTGATGTTTCATGTGTTATTTTTGGTAGGTGTTAGTGAGTGAATTGTTTTTTTTTCTTTCCAGTAATTTCTGCACACGTGCACTAAAAGGTGAAATGCAAACGTGTTTCATCGCAGTACCAATGATACGAACCACCAACTAGGAATAATTTGCCCACTTAAATGTTGCGTAGTTCCACTAATTACTGAGCAAACTACAGTGGTGTTCTAACAAATTTTGTGCAATACCCAAAGTAACGTTCATTTGACTGTATAATATATGCTTCCCACGTCATGCGAAAGGCCGCATACATATCCTTAGTACCGTAATTTACTTTGACAGGCTCAGTCTGGCGAACAAAAATGCAGCGCCAACAATTCTGTACGATAATCTTTATTTCCAATAACCTATACACTGCACTTTATGTACTCTCAGTGTGCGATACAGCCTTTACTGGCACAAGAAGAAAACGCCCCAGAGTCTTTTCTATACACATGCAAAGAAATGAGTATTGTCAGATTGTTCAGGTACTATATCGTAGGGAGGGCTGCAAAGTTTGAAAATGAACCACTGGGCTTATTAGAACATGTTGTTAGGCCAGTTGGTTCATTCCAAATAAATGGTAAAGACGCAACCCACCCAGACAAAAAAAATCCTACAAAACTGTTACTGTGCAAGTCCACATTTACATAAGAGCTTTTATTTTTAAATAAACCTAGTTGCAAGTGGACGCCCTATTCTGTCTCCTTCCTTTTTTTTGTCTATGTGAGCTGTGTCCTTAAAGTTTCTTTTAACGCTTGGGTTGCTTTAATGCAGTGATATCTTCGCACAATTCTGTATAGGCTAGACGTATCACAGGCTACATGTGCTCGTGTGGATGTATGAAATGTTGTCACGTTACTTAACTTTCGCCGAAATATTTAATAAATGAAGGAGCGGGGTGCCACAGGCAACTTACATTTACTGCCAATACTCTGCAGAAATTAAGTGTGATTCTTCAAACAAGGTCTTGCATTTGAAGTAAATATGATGGCTAATTTTCAAATTATTATACTACAACACAAAATAAAACAGGAACAGCTGGCGATTTTTAATGAGCTTTGGCTCACGAAGCCCTCAAGATGCATTTATGCAACTGTGCGAAAATCTTGAATTCAGGCTTTCTCAAAAAGCAGTTGATATGGTTGGTTCAGCATAACTCAGCAGCAAAACTACGGTAACTGCTTGCAATTGTTTTGTGAAAAACACCGGACGTATGGCAAATCTATTTGCGCACTAGTGTTATTTGCCTATCTCACTGATGACTTCTCTCATTATCTAGCGGAGAGTGGCACATTCGGTATGAAGTTCTCATTGCTTAATAGAGTGACGTTTATTCACATCTGTACGGCTGTTTTATTTGAATTTTAAAAGGCAAATACAAATGTGGTTGTAAGGTATTGGACAACAGTAGAAGGTATCATTGTACAGAACTTATGGGGCAAGCGAACCGATGCAAGCGTGACTCATATCACCTGGCATATTCAGGTGCCTAGTCTAGCGGTAGATGTAGCCATGCTCTGAATTTCATGTCCTGCGTTGAAAACACCATCGTCTCTTTCCGAAATTTAGGTAAGTTCTCTCTCGCATGTGAGGTTGATCTGCCTATTCTTTCTTGGATAGTAAGTGAAGCGGCAATGACACCTGAAAAAATGAATCAATGTTGTTTCGCTTTAACGCTAGATGACGAAACATTTTCTTTGCACCGTAAAGGCCACGAATTTTGAAAAGTCTGTATTCATTGAGAAAAACATATTTAACGACAAAAATATTTTAATTTTCTTTTATTGAAACAACATACTGCACTTAAATGAGAAAGTTGGTACTACCTTCACTGCCCGGTATGTATAAAGATTCATCAACGTATTTTTGCACTATTTTCTTATAGCATTTCCGATGGAGGCGGAAATGTTGTAGGCCCGTGTACTCAGATTTGGGTGCACGTTAAAGAACCCCAGGTGGTCAAAATTTCCGGAGCCCTCCACTACGGCGTCTCTCACAATCAAATGGTGGTTTTGGGACGTTAAACCCCACAAATCAATCAACTATTTTCTTATAGAGTGGGTGCGACTTTGATTAGTTGCCTTCAATTGATAGGAATTTTGCAATCTGTGCATCCAGGCATGACACCTAGCATGTCCGGTTTAGGAACTTAAGTGCTACCAATTGTGACACCCGGTATGCCACGTAAAACCTAATGGCGCAACCGTCACCACATGTTGGATGCGCAGTGAGGAAGCACTTAGAGAACACTCATGATTCGCTTTGAAGAGTGCAGTGCGATAGCGTAGTCGGGCCCCACTCCCACGTCTTCTCATTCGCTTGCCACGCTTCGCTTCCCGGCGTACAGCTCTATCATGCCATGTGGAAAGGAACAACTATGTGTGTAACCTTGCCCGCTTCTCATTTGTGCAATGGTAATGCAAGTACAGTTTCAAAGTGCACACGTAATACACTTAATCCACCAGTTCACCGAGTAGCAATATGCTCACTATGCATCCGCAGCTCAACGAACGCATTTACGTAGCTTTACACTTTGGTATTTAAAAATACTGCAGCCCAATATTTCGGTCCAAGCAGGAGGAACATTACAACAATAGAGCAAACAAAAAAAGAGAAAATATGTACATGCGAATACAGTGCCGCACGAAATGGACATAATGCGTAAAAAACAAGCAGCAATCACCCCTTGACTTCAGCGAAAGTTCACAAGGAGCAATGGCGCTCCAATTCAATCGTGACACCCAAATTCTAACATGAAATACTGTTGATACTGTTGTTGGTACTGTTCTTGATAATGTTGCTGATAGTGTGACTGACGATGACGATTAAGTACTGCAGCACGCTTTGTAATCGACTTGGCTTTACTCCACCCACTCGTGGCGCAATTTCTATGGTGTAACGCCTATAGTGCGAATCTACGCTTTCTTCTTGAATAGTAACATGTGTAAACATGACTCCTCGCACTACATGAGGCTTGCATAGGTTTCTTTTCTTCTTTCGATGCACTTTCATGTATTAGCATGTCCCTGGGACACAAAACCGCTTACGACTCAGAGTACTTGTGTTCAGTCTATCCGGAACATCTGTTTTTTTTAATATTTGCATACATCGCAATTTCTTGCTCACAACCAACTCTGCCGACGTCGACACAGCCTTTTCTGCAACATGGGTACTTTGACAATACCACGTGGCACGTTGTAGTGAATCTTTCTGAACCTGTAGTTTTGTAAGAAACGAAGGACCAACTCGTTTGCATTGCGTTACTAGTATGCTCTCTTGTTTAGACTGCGTGTGTAGCTCCATCTTCCTCATGTGACGTTGGAAGAGGAACAAAACAATTTACTTTTGTCCCGTATCTTTGGAAGTATGATACAAAGAAATAGTTATTGTTATGCAATAGGTTCACCAACTGCCGGCATGCGACAGCTTGGTCGGCGAAGCGACGAATAGAAGAAGCGTGTGTCAGAGTCCTCGCAACAATCCAGAAAAAAAGGGGAAAAAATCTTATACGTGCAGAACATATTGTACAATTGCGTTCTAGTGAAGCCGGCTGCGCTAACAGTGGATAATCTCCTAGTGTTTCCCTTTAACCCTGTTTGTGTGGTGATACTGTGGGTATAGTTCTCCACTGCTTAGTTGTGAATCGCGGATTCGATTTTGGCCGCATTTTGGCCACTGCAGCCGCATTTTGAGGGAGGCGATTTGCTTAAGGCCTCTGCGGAGTGTGATGTCAGTGCACGTTAAAAAAAATCAGATGGTCAAAGTTTCCGGTGCCTTAAAATACGGCGTACGTCATAATCGTATCGTGATCTTGGCTTGTAAAGAACCCAGTAATTCTTATTATAATTATTGTTAATATTATGTCATCTATCCCCTATTTTTCCCAACATTTGTGTAATATACTGTTCAGCCGTTTAGTGTGCCTAAATAGGAAACTCTTGTGCGTTTTTGTTCCGTATTTCACCCCAAAAAGCAATAAGCCTGCCTGCGCCATGATTTCGTGGTGGTCACAATGTACTTTCATAACTGAGTGCAAAATAAGTCAGAAAAAGGTCAAATTTCACAAATGAAACCAGTTATAAGAACAGACACCCGGCTATACAAAACAGAGACCCACTGGAACATTTTAGTAGAATTCCTTTTGTGTCCCAAAAAGTGCGTAGCTTCCTCAGAAAACTTGACATTTTACAATGCAGCCCATGGGCTCGTATAGTAGGTGTTCAAATTTTCTGGGAAGCCATGGGCTTTGGAAGAGAATACTGAAATTATACCAAACTCTTCCACCGGATATTCACTGTATATAGCCAAGAGTCCATTTTTGAGAAGCAGCTTTTTTGTTTTGCGAAATACGATGTTTTTTTTCCTCTGCTATTATTCATTCAAGTACTACAGGGCACCATTGTCACCGCCAAGAGTCGGGTCTCGTGATAGATTCCCCGAAATCCTATAAATGTGGTACGCAGCAAAGATTTCCTCAGCACAGGTATTCAGCCTAGTTAAAACTTGTTCGTCCTTAAGAAGCGTGAAAGAAACAAAGGACCGAAGACATATACACCGAAGACAGGGACTTTCTAACAACAAACAATGCCTATTACGGATGAACAATTTTTTGCGCGAGATCATTACTTCATTGCGTACTGCCAACTAAGTAAAAAAAGAACTTTGGCAAAGTGTATCAATGTCCTTTCACAAAGCTTTTACTCGCAAGCCTCGTTTTGGCACGAGCCACATCTTCTCCACGAAAGCCTTGACGATAAAACTGACCTTGTCGCAACGACGCTTGAGCCTTACGACAAAGTCAACTTTGTCGTGAATGTCGGGACGCTCGTGGTGGTACTAATATCTACTACATAAGTTGTATTTGTGTACGTACAATTCTAGTTGCTTATTTTGCCGTGAAATTTGATACCACCACACAAACTTCTATCCCTTTCATAGTAAACCATATACTGAAAACACTTGCAACATTCAGTCAAAGATAAGTGAAGCAAAACGCACCTAGACGTTTCGGTTTTAGCCAGAAAATCCGGAGCTGAACTGCTGGCCTCCGGATCCTTGTTCCTGGTTCTTGTATTCGTTGCCAAAGCTAGACTGTCCAGTGGCCCGGTTGGCTCCCTCATTTTTACTCAGACCAAATGACTCGCGATCTCCGTAGGTCTGCACGTTGCCGTATTCGCGTCTATTCGAGCCACCGACATTGTAGTTGAAGCCACCCTGGCCATACCTGAGGGAGAGTAAATAAAAAGCAATGAAATCAATCAATCAATCTATCTATCTATCTATCTATCTATCTATCTATCTATCTATCTATCTATCTATCTATCTATCTATCTACTTTAATACGCTGTGTGCTCCTTACTTTTTCCTATTCTCTAAGTGTAAAAGGCATGTACTCCTACCAGGCCATGTAATTTATCTTCAATGTCATCAATTTTATTTATCGTCAAGACGAAAAAAAAAATCCGCACGAAAAGCGCGTCCACCTACCTGTTCCCCTGAGCACCCGTCTGAAAACTTCCACCCTGGTTGAAGCCGCTGCCGAACTGGCCACCTCCCAGTCCCGGGCCATAGCCCCCACCAATACCGGGGCCGAAACCTCCGGGACCCGCGATGCCGGGTCCACCGAAGCCACCTTTCTTTCCACGACCATGATGACGCAAACGGCCATGTCTGGTCCTGCCTTCGATCTCCTCCTCTTTCGGTTCTTCAGCGGGGGTAGGAGCTGTAAAGGCCACTGCCAGGACGGACACGAGCAAGACGAAGGCCAACTGAAAGTGGTAGGAAAGAGGCGGACAGATGGTATGGAATTAACTGTACGAGCTACGTTAAATGATTCGTGTAATGGCACTGAGTCACTGGCCACGGGACGAAATCAAGCAGACAATCTACAGCGGGGGTCAAACGTTCCCAGTCCCTGGCCACTATTCGTTGTATTGCTGTGGGAGCGTGGCCTGGAAACTTTTGACCCCCCCCCCCCCCCTCTACACATGAATTCATTGCTAGCAGAAACGCTTCGTGAATATTCACTTCACATTTTTTAAAATCATTTCACTTCAGAACTCCTGTATGGATTTCTTCATTAATATGTTCGAGGTAAACAAATAATTATAGGCTGGCCGTGCACGGAAACCATTCACTATCAGACAACCTCAATATAACTTGCACTGTGACGTGTCAGTAGGCCTCTTACAGACTCACTATGTCTTTGGCTTGGCAAGAGGTACATACTTATTACAGCCACGTGGAGTTGGGCTTGGCAGCGACTTTATTTCATGCCTCTTTTATCAGTATCGAGGTGAGGAATTGGCATACCGTCTCAATTTTCGCCTCTGTTTTGCGGTTTTCATGCTCATCGAGCGCCAGGATACCATTCCTTCCGCCAAGAGCGTTCAAGAGCCCTTCCCTAAAGCGAATAAATGTCGCCTTATGAGATAGTGGTACGAGCGACATGTTTGATTAACTTTTCATATTTTACAGAAAATACAGATGATAATGCTCACTTCAAAGGGTCCTATACCACCATTATCCCCCTTCCCGCGCTCCCATCTCCCTCCCTAGCCCCGCCTTAAGCTGTAAGAAACCAATTGCGTTTATTATCCATTGTTGCACTGGCGCCAGCAGGAGCACCAACCACTTATGATTATTCACAATAGCGAACAACGCCATCAGCCATCAAGATATATATATGAAGTGACCGAAAGCGGCACTGTCAGCTGACATTATTGGGTTATCGCTTCTGTATTAAATGAACAGTTCACAGCGATACGTTTACACCTCGACATCTTGATATTTTGACTGTGGCCACCTCGTGTTCAAAAGTACTACAAGAACGGTGCAACTGCGCTTGTGATTTATTCATTTAACCACTCAATAAGTGTTAATGATTGAGAGGCGAGGAATGTTGAGCTTTGCATAGGCTTTTGAACCTACATTCATTTTTATATATAAGTTTAAAGATCATTAGGTTTTTATTCAACACGATACTGAGCGCAATATACATTCATCCTATCGTAAGTTCGGACTTTTCTGGTATTGCAAAATGGTGGACAATCTGACCCAATTTAACCAAAAATTAAAGCGGGCTGTATTACAAAAACATCTAATAGTTGTTTTTTATTGTGCATTGGCCGTTCTCAACGTTGCGACTGCAACAAGTATAAAGGCTTGAACAAAATCGTTCACAGAATTTCAGTATCCTCTTTCTATAATTGCTATGAAGAAAACGTTTAGAAAAAAAAATTCTACGAACAAGTGATATGCTTCACGAAAAAGCATGAAGCGAAAACAAAATCTTAAGATTTATGCATAGGCAAACAAAGTTATCGCAGTCCAATGAAATCCATTTTTTTCTCCTAGCTGTCAAACTACCTTTATAAATAAAAAACTTGTGCCATATCTCCCTCTCCAAATTCAGAGCATTTAGACGAGGTTCTGACGCAAGGAGAAACCTTCACAGCAACAATTTCAAGTTTTAATTGTACAAAATTCCTTTCATAAAAAGGCGCTTTGAGATCAGCGTGGTTACTTCACAAATTCGATAATTAGGTGCAAGCAAGGCAAATAGGGGAATACTTACAGTGCGACGCATTTTCAGAACCGAAAGGCGAACTGGGACACAAAAGTAACAGGAGACAACTCGAAGACAGCGAATGGAGGTCTTGCCAACTGGAGGCGGAAAAAAACGTGGCTTTTATAATCGCGTCTCACCGGTGACGCGGAGTGAGCGCGGGAATTCCCCTCATCCCACCGCTAAGTGGCAACGGTGCCGGCGTACAACAACCTTCTCGCATGGACGTGCGCCAGGCGCGTGGCAAGGTAGACTGCGCAATAACTCCAGCTTCCTTTGGCGAACGCACTCTCGCGATGGAAATGAATGCGTACTCGCTGGCGGAGACAGGCACGTGCAGGTAAAAACCACGTGACCAGATTTCTCGGCACAACCAGATGGTAAAGTGAAAAAAGGAGAAACACACCGCTTCGGTAGATGAAAGAGAGAGAGAGAGGGAGAGAGGGGGAGAGACAATTAAACAACAAAGGAGACCTTGAGAAAAATCACAGGAGCACACGGATGAGTTCCGTATTTTGAGTCAATACGCGTCAATTGAAAACACACCACCACCTCGGGGTCGTGTTGTAACGATGATGTGTGTTGTGTCAATGCTCATTTTTAAGCTTCGCATCAAAATGAGCGGTGAAATATGGATAACAGCAAACAGCACGTGAATTGGAAGTTTTTGTTCTACAAATTCGCTATTGATCTTACTCTCTAGCAGCGGGGCCTGAGCGTAACGTAAATGAGAATAAGTAAATGATACAACTAAAGAATAAGTAAAATGGAAGCTGTCTTTCGATGTAGTTTCTTACTTGGTACCTTATTCGCTAGATATTACATTCATGCTTTTACACCTTACGATAAGTACATGATTGTCTGAAAGGCAAGACCTTCGTTACAGGTAGAATTCCCAGTGAAACCAGGCTTTAGATGAATAACGAAGTTACAATACTGTTCCCGCCATGATGTTCTAGTGGTTATGGGGCTTGAATGTTAATCAGAAGTTCAGGCAATCACATTGTGTCAAAATCATGATGTTATTAAGAGGCACTACCGCTGCCAAAAAGTTTTTTGGGGGGAAGGAGGGGGGGGGGGGGGTCTGTTATATCTAAATTACATTGCTTCGTGCTTTTGCATGTATACAAGTTTATATACGCAAGTAAAATTGAAAAACCTCCCCCTTGGCTACGTCCATGTTATGAGGAACGCCGTAGTGATGGGCTTCGGAAATTTCGACTTCCCAGAGTGGCGTTCCTCTACACCTAACTGCAAAAGAATTCAGGCCTGGATTCATGCAATTAATTGAAAACAGAAGAACGAGGAGGGATTTCGCCTTCGAGTGGCTTAAATGGAACTCATCAAGGTCGGTGGGACTATTTCATCTTGAGAGCATGTTGATAGTCGCTACATAGTAATTTTTCCGTCTATGTCAGAATCAGAAGTTCATATATCTTCTGCGAGGCATAATCAATTTATGATGAATGGCTGAGAATATTAAAACTGGAAAAGAAAAATGTCTGCACCATTGAATCGCTGCTACCAGAATCATGGGCTTAAAGTCACAACTCAGCACTCCATGATTTGGTACCACGCATTCGTGGATTCGCCTGGGACCAAACTATACCAGGAACGACCAGGAAGGAATGTTTCATTAACGCCACTGCACACCGAACGCAGTATGCCCCTGCAGAGATATTATATCAAAACGGCGGGTGGCTAACCGGTCGAGCTGGCTGCATGAACACCTCACCTCACCTAACATGAAGCTACACATAGGACAAGCAGACTATATCAAGGGTCCGTAAACTGCAGACAAAGACATTTCGAGCTTACACAGTAGGTAACAAATGCTCCACAGAATGTCAAGTTGAATGCAAATGATGTGGTGGGACACCAACACTGACACCTAATACGTATACCCATGTCCGCCATGTCTTGGTGCGACAAACTGCGCGTTAACACTGTTGATACACGTTAACACACTCGAACACTATACAATTTCTGGGAAGCCAACTACAAACTTGGACAACGCTGGCCCGGTGAGCCGCTTTAATGCAGTTGAGCTATTCGCTAAGATTTCTAGTCTAAAAAACATTTGATTAAATAAACACTCATTGTCTCTCTTTCTGTCTAACTACCTAACTACCCCACCTTATGCTATATGGCCCACGATCACCAACCACTTCTTTATGGCTCCATAGTTATTCGTAACAGCCCTCACATTTCCTCTTGTTGCTCCTTTAGGACAACACTTTTTGTTGTTATATTCCTCAAATGTTTAAAAGGAAGTGATAATTCATGAAATGACGCAGTTAGTTTTGAAATCGAGCGAGGAAATGCTGTTGAAAACATGAGAGAATTATCTTTAAAGCAAAGTGAAAAGCATTTCTTCACTTGAATCATGGCTGAAAGAGCCGCAATACGACAGCGCATGACTGCAATGTCGTTATTTTATACTTGGCTGGCTTTATTTAGACATAAAGAAACATTGTCACGTAGCATGTAATATACGTTGCCATATGAAGCAATTGGCACATTTTGAATCCTGTATACAACGAAACAAAACAAGCATGACTCGAAATTAAATATTACGCATTCTAGCATAACTGATCTTCCTTAACTAATCAACAAAAAACTCCGACACATTTCGTTAGTGCCACGCGGCGGAAAACTGGATGTCGCTGATTTTACTAAGCTACGCTAAATAACTATCTAAAATTGGTAGCTCACAATAAGGTATACACAACCAACACACCGTCAATATACAACAGCTTAAGTTAGGTACACATCTGACAGTTGAGCGGTTGGGAAAATACGAAGGTCTGTGAAGCTAGAGAGCCCGAGCAAAGTTAGAAATGAAGCTGGTGTTGACTCGAAATGATCTCTATAGTGGAGCTCTCATTACGCGTTAAAGACGAGCGCGTTTTTTTTTTATTTTTACACTTAATACCTAAGTTGCAGCCACCGGGCAAGGAAGTGGCAGCCTAACATTACCTGTGATTTCCTGGAAGGAGTCCATACCAGGGCCAAACCATTGTACGCATTTGCTTGCGCTCACAACGCGCATAACTTACAGAAAAAAAACTGACACTGTGAATGCGACAACGCCATAGGTATACGTACGTACGTCGTATAACAGCGCCCTACCAGGAAGACGGCCAATTTCCCGTTTGTTTTGATGACTCTAGTACAACTATACATTGTTTCTGACAGAGTAGGTATCATTGGAGTGCGTGCCGCTGCATGGTAGCCGGGACGTGCGTGCTTATTGCGGTTCCTGCGTAGTTTATTTGTCATAGGAAAGCTCTCTTTCGGAGAACTGAAGCTTGCTACACGGCCGTTTAGCAGAATAACGTCAACGCGCGTAAGAGTAGCTAAGCTGATGACATCTGCTGTTAGGCAGTATACTGCGTCAGCCACGCAAGCTGGCGACGACACGATTGCAAAGCCGTTTTGAAGTATATGAAATATTCATGCCTTCTTTAATAATATAAATATCGGTGAATGATTTGAAAAAAAAATGATGATTAGATTGAACAATTTCTCTTTACAAAACCTTGAATATTTTATCGCGAACAGACGAACCGTTTCCGACAAAATGATGTTATGTCAAAGACAGAAACGAATTTGATAAAACATCGGAGGTGTTTTGGGCCAAGGCTATGATATGAACTTCGAACTTACATTTTCCAGCAGAAAGAAAATGGGGGTGCCCACAGGCAAAGAGCTGTAAAAAACAGTTTTAAGGCACCTGAGGAACTTTACAGGCAGCAGCGAATGAAAAGTATATGATCATAAGCGCCCGTGTGGTTAGATTATGTGCACGTTAAAGAACCCCAAGATGTCGAAACTTCCGGAGCCCTCCACTACGGTGTCTCTCATATTCGTATGGGGGTTTCGGGGTGTTAAAGCCCAACAAATATTATATTGATACGATCATGGGCAACGTCGCAGTAGAGAGCTCCGAAAATTTTTACCATTTGGTGTACTTGAACACGCACATGAGATCGCGCAAGACAGAAAAGTACCAACGCCCGCTTCGACTATTCGAAGGAAGCCACTTTTGTCTCAGGAGTTGTGGCGTTGATAGGCTCAAAATTTGTATTGATCTTTAAATAATGTAAATTAGGTTATGCTCTTCCAAACCACTAAGGCAGCTTCGCCCATTTGAGCGAAGCCTGAAGAAACAGCAGAGCTGAGTGACATTTCTCTTTTCCCTTCAGTTTTGTCTTTCTTACTTTCCTTCTCTCTGTCTTTCTTTCTTTCTTTCCTTCTTTCTTTCTTTCCTTCTTTCTTTCTTTCTTTCTTTCTTTTTTTCTTTCATTATTTCTTTCTTTTGTATCTTGCTATCATCTTACCTATCCCGGCTGCGGCGGCTGCATTTCCGATAGAGGCGTAAATGTTGTAGGCCCGTGTGCTCAGTTTTGGGTGCACGTTGAAGAACCCCAGGTGGTCGAAATTTCCGGAGCCCTCCATTACGGCGTCTCTCATAATCTTTTGGTGGTTTTGGGACGTTAAACCATTCATATCAATCAATAAATTATCATAATACCTGTGATGGTGATCTAGCGGTTATGACGCTCAAATACGGCCCTGGCCGGGATTTGGTCCCGCCATGATTCGATCCTACCATAGAGGTTGCGGAATTGCGGGATTGATTCCCGGCCACGGTAGCTGCATTTCCAAAGGAGGCGAAAATGCTCAATTCCCGCCTCCGTATACATTTACGTGCGCGTTGAAAAACCCCAGGGGGTCGAATTATCTGGAGTCGTTCACTATGGCGTCTCTCATAATCAAAGCTTGGTTTCGGGGCTAAATCCCAGTTATTATTATTATTATTATTATTATTATTATTATTATTAATATTATTATGTGTGGTATCACCTTGTTTCTATCTCTTCATTTCCCGTTGTCTCCTTCACATCTTTCGCGCGCTCCACCTCATCTAGTGGAGCTTTCGTTCAACGCCCGCACCTGTTGAACTGAGAAGTGGGCCTAGCCCAATTCCTGCGACCCACAACCACCTGAGGAGTTCCACTCTATGGAGCACAAGTGAACGAAAACTTAAACAGCTTCAGTGCTAAAATAACAAAAAAAGGCCTATGGGAGTTTGAATGCACTCTAATGATG